CTGGCACCAAGAGGCTCCTCGGCTGCCATGGAACCGGTGCACTTCGCTCGCCCGCCGCTCTCCAGACCCTGCCGGCCCCTTGCCCCAGCCGCGGCAAAGGCCGGGGCCATCTGTGCGGCGCTGCTTCACTGCAAGCGGAAGGGGGCGGTTTTCGGCAGGGCCAAGATCCCAAGGCGTGATGTCAGTGATGTGCCCTCGGACTTACCTGCGCTCCTTCAACTTAGCAGTTGCCCGTCCATGGAAGCAGTTCAAGGCGCGTTGGACTTGGGAAACTGGCAAGCGGTGCATGTAAAGCAACTGTTGCGCACGCTGGCAAGCAAGAAGCGGCCAGATGTGTTGCTCGGCGCGATTCAGGTCTTCATAAAAAAGAAGATTCAGTTGGAAGCGAGCGATTTTACTGTTGCATTGTCCATCTGCTCGAAGTTCCGCGCTTGGCAAAGCGCCTACGCAATTCTTGCAGCAATGCCAGAAGCGGAGCTGCAAGCCAGCGAGATCACCTTCAATGCAGCCATCGGTGCCTGTGAGGGCGGGCAGTGGCAAAAGGCATTGGCACTGTTTTGGGCAATGCCTGGATCCCACTTGCAAGTGGACAGCATCAGCTTCAACACAACGATCAATGCCTGCAAGAGTAGTGGGCAATGGCAGCATGCGTTGGACTTGTACCAGGCAATGCCCACAGCACAGCTGCAAGCAGACATGATCAGCATAAATGCAACCATCAGCGCCTGCGAAAAAGGCAGGCAGTGGCAGCAGGCATTAGCGCTCTTTTGCACCATGCCCGGCGCAATGCTGCAGGCTGACACTATTAGCTTCAATGCGACCATCAGCGCCTGCGAGAAGAGCGGGCAGTGGCAGCTGGCCCTGGATGTATTCCAAGGTATGCCTGCAGCAAAGCTGCAAGCAGACGTTATCAGCTTCAATGCAACCATCAGCGCATGCGAGACAGCCAGTCAGTGGGAGCAGGCCTTGGTGCTGTTTGGGCAGTTGCCTGAGGCAAGGTTGCGAGCAGATGAGTTTAGCTTCAATGCCGCCATCAGTGCCTACGCGAAGGGCGGGCAGTGGCAGCCGGCATTGGTGCTGCTCTGGGCCATGACGGAAACGCTGCGCTCAAGCGAGATTAGCGTCAGTTCAGCCATCAGTGCGTGTGAGAGAGGTGGGCAGTGGCAACAGGCGCTGGCGCTTTTTCAGGGCATGCCGGAAGCTAAGCTTCACCCCAACCTTATCAGCATGAATGCATCCATCAGTGCCTGTGAGAAGGGAGGCCAGTGGCAGCAGGCGCTGGCTCTCTTCAGGGGAATTCCTGATGCTAGATTGCAGGCAAACATCATCAGCGTCGGTTCAATCATCAGCGCTTGTGAGAAAGGAGGGCAGTGGCAGCATGCCTTGGACCTGTTCTGGGCCATACCTGAAGCAAAGCTTCAAGTGAATGTAATCAGCTGCAATGCAACTATAAGTGCCTGTGAGAAAGGTGGCCGGTGGCAGCAGGCCATGTCATTGTTTCGAGCCATGCCTGAAAGACAGCTTCAAGCAAACATCGTGAGCTTCAGTGCAACCATCAGCGCCTGCGAGAAAGGTGCGCAGTGGCAGCTGGCGCTGGACTTGTTCCGAGTCATGCCAGAAGTAAAATTGGAGGCAAACACTGTGAGCTGTAGCGCAAGCATCAGTGCCTGCGAGAAGGCCGGTCAGTGGCAGCAGGCACTCCTGCTGTTCTGGGATATGCCTGAGGCAAAGCTGCAAGCAAATCAGATTAGCTTCAGTGCAAGTATCAGTGCGTGTGAGAAGGGTGGGCAGTGGCAGCAGGCGTTGGCGCTGTTCAAGGCCATCGCGGAGGCAAGGCTGCAAGCTGACATTATTTCTCTCAATGCGGCGATCAGCGCTTGCCAGAAAAGTGGCCAGTGGCAACAGGCCTTGTCGCTTTTCTGGGGTATAAAAGAAGCAGAACTGCAAGGGACTGAGATTAGCTTCAATGCAGCCATCAGCGCCTGTGAGGCCGGTGGGCAGTGGCGTTTTGCGCATGCAGTCTTTGGGAGAATGGGATCTGAGCTGCAAAGTGAGATCAGCTTCAATACAACAACCAGGGCCTGCGAGAAAAGCGGGGCAGTGGCACCAGGCGTTGGGGCCGTTCTGGGGTGTGTGTGATTGCAAGCAAGCTGGTTCAGCTTTCCTGCAAGGGCCTCTCGAAGGTGGCAAAAGCGTCTTGGAGATGTTGAGCACCAAGCAGCGAGCCTCGGCTCGCGCGAGTGAGGTGAGGGTTCCAGTGGATGCCTGGTACCGGCGCATACCTTGGCGTCCCGTTTGCACCGAGACACGCAGCAGACTCGAGTGCCTGGCGGCGCTATCCTGATACTGGCGGCATCTCGCAGATCTTGGCGAGTTCTCGAACTCCAGGACCTCGCGGACACCTAAAATAGATCAAGTCCTTACTAGAAGGCAACCTCTGATTTGGTACAGTCCTCCAGCTTCATCCAAAGTTGGCATGAAAACAGAACCTGACATCCTCAAGTACCAGCGTGTCGGTCCAAGGCCCTCAGAGGAAAGGGGGTGGGTGTACCGTTGTACCTTTTTCGGGATGGGGAGGGGCTGTTCCGAATTCCATACGGTGTTGTGTTTCTTAGGGACCCCCCCAACAAAAAGCAAAGTAGTTGTCCTTTCGGTTTCACTTTAAACACTCAAAAACGGGGCAAACAGGGGGTTACTCTGAAGAAGGCAGACCCATAGATTTTCCGAGGAACTCGTATGGAGGGGGCCTAAGATTACTCCGGGTGTGGGGAGTCGGCACTTCACCAGCCCTTCCCAAGATCTCTTGGGCGTGGGCATGGCCGCCCCAGAAAGCTCAAGTCTGCTCACGTCTCCCTGTGGTTCATCAATCCAGGAGCCTGCCGGCGAGCCAGGAGCAGGGCTGCTTGATACGGGCGAAAAAAGGGGGAAAACACACACACAATAGGCCATGTGCATGCCGACTTTGGCGTAGAAGGCGCTCGCTTTTGATCACCTGACGCCCTCCCAGCCACTTCTTTCTTTCTTTCTTTCTTTATGTATTTATTTATTTATTGATTTGTTTCTCTCTCTCTCTCTCTCTCTCTCTCTCTCTCTTTTTTCCTTTGTCTCTTTCTCTCTCTCTCTCTCTCTCGCGCCCGCGCGCCAGGAGCTTTGTGGGGCGGTCATCAGTGCCTGCGAGAAATGTTCCCAGTGGGAGCGCGCCGTTGCGCTGCTGGGGGCCATGGGGCCCAAGGCGGATGTGATCGCCTTCAACACGGCGGGGAAAAGCCGCGGGGGCCGCGTAGTTGGGGGCCGCGTCGTTCTGATGTGGGGGTTTCTGAAAATTGGGGACCCCATCCGGTGGTTTCCTCTTGGTTTCCTGTTAAAATTATCCAACAAGGTTTCCCCATTTTGAGACACGCCCATGTGATGATATGTCTAGGTTTGAGTAGATGCGGCGGGATTGGGGGATCTTGATTGCGGGCTAGAGACGCAGTTGTGATCTACCACCGGGATGATGGGCATTTGGGCGTCTCTCGGTTGGGAGCAGTCTGTTCATGTCAAGCCAAAACTCACTGGTGAGCTGTTTGCACTCTCTCTCTCTCCTCTCCCCTCCCCTCCTCTCCTCTCCTCTCGTTTTCTCTTCCCTCCCCTCCTCTCCCCTCCTCTCCTCTCCTCCCCTCTCCTCCCCTCTCCTCCCCTCTCTCTTTGCACCACTCCCATCCTGTCGGAAAAGTCGACATGTTGAATCTCCCCCCCCCCCCCCGCCTCCCCCCCCCCCCTTCGGTCAGGCCATCGTGGCCTGCGGCAAAGGCCTCAGGTGGCCCGTGGCCGTGGCTCTGCTGGCGCGGCTGCGCCCTTCGTCGCTGGCGCCCAGCGTGGTGACCTACAGCTCGGCACCTCGGCCGGCGGCCGCTCAGGGGGGGAGGAGGACCGCCACGAAGACGCCTCTCCCAAGAAGCACGGCTTGGGCCGGGTGAACACACCTGTGGTACCTGACAATGGAAGACAGCAAGATTGTTTTTTTTTTTTGTTTTCCCCCCCCCCCCGAGGAGACTTGTGCACTTTCAGGATTGGTTGGATTGTTGGGGAGGTTGGGATAATTGTGAAGTTATGGCTATGCTTGGGGGGGGGCTATGGGTAACTGGGTCTAGTTCCCTCATCACCATGATTCTAACTTACCTTACTAAGTTGGTGGATCGAAGCAGGGACTCGGTCCGGCCAGTTCTTCCGCCAAACCGCAAGTCTTGCCCTTCACGCCAGTGGAGGCCATACAAAGTTCCCAAGGTTCTCAAAATCTGGGCACCCCCAAAACGCTGGGTTTCCCCGCTCCCCCTTGCAGGGCTCCTCAGAAGATACATTTTGCAACCATTTGAAGCATGGCTTTTTCCACCAAAATCAAGGGAAATCACCATTTACAAGGCAATGTTCAGGCGTATAATGTAAGGATCCCTGCTTTGGAACCACCCCAAGTTGGTACCCACAGAAACGCCTCAGAGCTGCGCCTGAGAGCTGCGCAGGTGATGAGTGCCTTGGAGCGCTCGAGGCAGTGGGAGCTGGCGGTGGAGCTGTTTGAGGAGATGCGACGAACCAGCTGCCCGCCCGACCAGATCCTCGGTTGTCAGCACTGCTTTATCAGCAACCTGTTACACCATCCCGGTTACAAGTTACAAGTTCACTGAAATCTAAACAGTCGCAGTTTTATCGATCGTGCTCTTCTAGCATCGGGTCTGAAGTTCTCGCGGAAGGGGGGAATGACCCCTTTCCAACCAGAGATTAACATGGAAGGGAATTGTTATTGTCATATTCTTTGCCCAGAGCCAGCTGGCACAGATGTTGGTTCGCAGAGGCGGGATTGGGCAAAATGCGTTTAAGCAACCAGAGCCTAGTGCCCTGTTTGTTGGAACATGAGGTTGTTTGACTAGTTCTGGTTGGCACATTTTATTTCAGAGATTTGGCCCATCGAGTCGTCCGGGATTCGGGTTTCGTGTCTCGATTGAAATTCTGGCAAAGGATCCATGGGACTGCCTTCAGCCGCCACTTGGGTTAAGATTTTGGGGCTGACAAGCACCGCAAGCTCCGCAAGCAACCAATTCTGTCTCGATTTCTTTTTGGTAAGGGCTGTGAGACACACACTTTTAGACAGACATTAGACCTGTACTTTGCAACTTCTTGCTGACGAACAAGTAGGTCCCCAGTAGTGCCCTTTTGCTCACTTTTTGGTTGGGAGGGTTCCCCTACTAAAGTAGACGTCCTGAAAAAAGAGAGTTGGTGCCCTTATTCTACCCTCTATTTTGGGCGACCAAGACAAAAAGAAGCAACAAGCATCCACCTCGACAATGAGCGCCCAGCTTCGCGAGCAGCGTCCAGGATCACCTGGAACTCGCTGATCAGCGCCTGCGAGAGTGGCCAGCAATGGCGTCCGGCCCTCGGCTTCCTCGCTGCAGCGCGGCGAAGTTCGGACGACGGCGCCTGGCACGAGGGGCCACTTGCCCGGCAGGGGTTTTGTTGAGACGCCCCAGCTGAAACAAAGGTATCCACCATTGCTCATTACTTACCTAAAAAGTTTGTTCATCCAGATTGGGTCAACCATTCTTTCAATGGGGGTTGAACCCCAAGCGTTCACTCGAAAGCCTTTCTGGCTGAGCAGATAATTATGGGTGTCTTTTTCTGAGGGTGTCCTTTGTTGGTGGTATCAAAGTGGAACCAACAGGAAAACCACTATTTTTTTGGGGGTCCCCGAAAAAGAACTAAAAACGCGCATACCCATATTGTTACAGTCTTTGTTTCGTGGCTGGCGCGTTTGAACATCACGGGGGTGCTTTTTCACTTCCAAATTCACGGCTTGTGCCGGCCAAATTCCCTTAGTTGGAAGTGCAAAAAGGCCCTTTCCGAGGAAAGTCGTCTTTCTACAGGGGTCTGTGCACTTCCATGTTAGCTGGCGGGAGGGTTTGTTACCTTGCGAGACCGAACTGGGTTCTATCTTCTCCACCCCCCCCCACTCCCAGTGGCTGGCGCCAGGCTCATCCCCGGCTTCAACTCGGCGATCAGCGCCTGCGGCAAGGCCTCGGAGTGGAGTTTGGCTCTGGCGGTGCTCGAGGACATGGCGCGGGGCTCGCTGCCGCGGGGGGTGGTGTGCTACAACTCCCTGCTGCAGCAGCTGGGCGGCAGCTGGCGGCTGGCGCTCCACCTGCGCCCTTGGCCGAGTGGGGCTATGTGGGGCTTGGGCTTGGAGAGTGAGGGAGGGATGGGCAGTGGGTGGGCGGTGGGTGGGTGGGGTGGGGTGGGGTGGGGTGGATGGGAGGGGGGTGGGTGGCTAGGTTTGCTGGCGGGGGCGGGTGTGGATGGATGCAGGGACACATTGTCCTCACACGGGCTTTACCAAGAAAGCACGCCACCCTCACGGAGGAAGCCTGAATGTCAGGCGTCTTGTCAGAAGCTTCACTGGGGGAACGTTTATTGTTCAAAAAATCATCAAATAAATCTTTCCATGTCAAAGCTAGGGACCTTTCCCGGCGGTTGGTTTTCTTTGTGGGCCGCATGAATATCCCGGGCTCAGTTTGGGGTGTCGCTACTCCGAGCTCACGGATCCTGAGAACCAAAAGACACCCGTCACCTGCTTCCCATCACAGTAAAAACGGTCCGCTCCGCGCCCACGCTCCCAAAAAGAGGAGGACAGAAGAAATATTCATAGGGTCCGAGGGGTTGCGCATCGGTCCTGGTCCAAATGGGGTCTCCTGATTACCCGTTGCTGGGCACAGAGACCATCATTCGTTAAGTGAGTAGCTGACATGGAATCTCTCTAGGCATTGTGGGTCGTCAGAGGATCTGTTGGTTTAGAATTGCCTAGTTGTGATTTTGTTTTGGGGGATTAGGGGTCTAGAGAAAAGCAACGCGTGCATCTAATCATCGAAGGAAGTGATTGGGGCCCGGACCATGGTTCATTCACCATCCGCCCCCACCATAACAACAAATCCCAGGAAAGAAACCAGTTGCTTATTATTGGTGGTCAAAGTTTGTTCCAGATTTGGGCTGCCAACTCACATGTTCGTCATTTCTGTCTAGGTCCGGCCGGGCAGATGGGTCAGTGGAGTGGCCTTAGTATTGGGCTTAGTATTGGTTTAGAATTTAGGTTTTACCATTCAGTTCACTTAAGTAGTACATAGTTTTTATCCGTAGTTATCAGGGGACGAACCCCTACCCCCGAGTTACCCCAGGTAAACCATGGTTGTAACTTATCCAGGTCCCCCAGTAGCGCCCTTTCGCCCTTTTTTGGGAGAGGGTTCCCCCTACTAAAATAGACTACCGAAAAAAAAGAAGATTTGGCACCCCTTATCCAAACCTCTCCACTGGAGGACCTAGACGTATACCTTCTGGCTCTGGTCATGGCCTGCTTTGGGTGGGAACCTCAGGCTGGCGGCCGTGGATTCGCCTGACCAGACCAGCTGCCGCGCGGCGTGGGAGTCCTGCCAGGCCGCCGGCAGCCCACTTGTCCTCACAGGCGGGCTGGGGTGCCTTTGGAGCCTTGGGTGGGTGGGGGAGCCTTTGGTGGAGCTCAAGAGCCAAAATTTTTCGGCCCCCCGTTGGCTCTTTTCTTTTAGCTTTTTACTCTTTTCACAACCTACAGGGGTGGATCCACAAAGGAACAGTCGGGCTGAAATGGTGAAAAGTGCTCAAACCATGAGTCGTGGAAGGTAGCCTTGGCACAAAAGCAAGGCAGCATTTTAAAGATACCATTCTCAAGAAGGCCCGCGGAGCACAAGATGTCGATTTTTGGCCTCGCGGCACAAAAAGCACAACAAAAGCAATTAAAGGACCGGATAACCCCACATGCTATGTTTTTGCCAAGGATGTGAGTTCAAATGTCCACACACATGTACCGTGCGCCCCTTGTATGGATGCGATTACAGAGCAGGTCTAGCGCGCTCTTTTCATCGCAGGCGTTGCTAACCTACTGCAGCCCGAGCCGCTAATCAACAAAACAAAGCAAGTTCGAGACATTCTCGAACTTAGTCCATCTTGTTAGATTATTGGCTGCGCCGCACGTGCATCTCAGGAGGTCATCTTGCAGCTCAGCATCGGAGAAGATCTGGACACTTTCCCAAAGAGAAATAGCACTGTGGTATCCGTTGGACGATGAAGTCAAGCTTTTTCAGTCAGATGTCCATCTCAAGGCTTCTCCGCGGGGAACCTGCAGGGCCTGCCTTCCTGAAAGGTTCCAATGAAGGTGCGCGCTGCGGCTGGAATGTCGACAGAACGCGGACCGCTCCGCCTACATTGTGAATCCATCAGCAGCGCCGAGGGCTTGGCAGGGCAGCCGTGGAGCAGCTTATCCAACTTGGAGCAGCTCATCCACGACTTCGGCAATGGCATCTCCACACCCAGATGCACAGAATGCAGCGCCTGCCACGACTTCGGCAACGGCATCGCCAAAGTGCTGCGCCTGCCACGATTTCGCACGCCCCCCGCCGCGCGCGCTGCGCCTGCCACGATTTCGCACGCCCCCCGCCGCGCGCGCGACAACATCCTGTCCCGTTAGACAGCTGCCGAACGCTGCGCCTGCCACGATTTCGCACGCCCCCCGCCGCGCGCGCGACAACATCCTGTCCTTTTAGACAGCTGCCAAATGCTGCCCCTGCCACACAAACACACACCCAGATGCACAGAATGCTGCGCCTGCCACGACTTCGGCAATGGCATCGCCAAAGTGCTGCGCCTGCCACGATTTCGCACGCCCCCCGCCGCGCGCGCGACAACATCCTGTCCCGTTAGACAGCTGCCGAACGCTGCGCCTGCCACGATTTCGCACGCCCCCCGCCGCGCGCGCGACAACATCCTGTCCTTTTAGACAGCTGCCAAATGCTGCCCCTGCCACACAAACACACACCCAGATGCACAGAATGCTGCGCCTGCCACGACTTCGGCAACGGCATCGCCAAAGTGCTGCGCCTGCCACGATTTCGCACGCCCCCCGCCGCGCGCGCGCCAACATCCTGTCCCTTTAGACAGCCGCAAATTTCTGCCCCTGCCACACAAACACACACCCAGATGCACAGAATGCTGCGCCTGCCACGACTTCGGCAATGGCATCTCCACACCCAGATGCACAGAATGCAGCGCCTGCCACGACAGAGGCAACGGCATCGCCAAAGTGCTGCGCCTGCCACGATTTCGCACGCCCCCCGCCGCGCGCGCGACAACATCCTGTCCCTCTAGACAGCTGCCGTGAGTCAGCGAGTGTGAGTGAGTGAGTGAGCGAGTGAGTGAGTGAGTGAGTGAATGAGAGTGAGTGAATGAGAGTGAGTGTGAGTGAGTGAGTGTGAGTGAGCGTAGTGAGTGAGTGAGTGAGGGTGAGTGAGTGTGAGTGAGTGAGTGTGAGTGAGTGTGAGTGACTGAGTGTGAGTGAGTGAGTGTGAGTGAGTGTGAGTGAGTGAGTGTGAGTGAGTGTGAGTGAGTGAGTGAGTGTGAGTGAGTGTGAGTGAGTGAGTGAGTGAGTGAGTGAGTGTGAGTGAGCGTGAGTGAGTGTGAGTGAGTGAGTGTGAGTTGAGTGAGTGTAAGTGAGTGAGTGAGAGTGAGTGAGTGAGTGAGTGAGTGAGTGAGTGAGTGAGTGAGTGAGTGAGACAGTGATGAGGAGGGAGGGCGGGAGGAGGAGGAGAAGGAGACGCGGCGCGCGGACGACGAGCGGTAAAAGTAAGAACCCCACACAAAGATGTGGGGAACAAACACACACCCAGATGCACAGAATGCTGCGCCTGCCACGACGTCGGCAACGGCATCGCCAAAGTGCTGCGCCTGCCACGATTTCGCACACCCCCCGCCGCGCGCGCGCCAACATCCTGTCCCTCTAGACAGCTGCCGAATGCTACCCCTGCCCCACAAACACACACACACCCAGATGCACAGAATGCTGCGCCTGCCACGACTTCGGCAACGGCATCGCCAAAGTGCTGCGCCTGCCACGATTTCGCACACCCCCCGCCGCGCGCGCGCCAACATCCTGTCCCTCTAGACAGCTGCCGAATGCGACCCCTGCCACACAAACACACACCCAGATGCACAGAATGCTGCGCCTGCCACGACTTCGGCAACGGCATCGCCAAAGTGCTGCGCCTGCCACGATTTAGCAACGGCATCGCCAAAGTGCTGCGCCTGCCACGATTTCGCACGCCCCCAGCCGCGCGCGCGACAACATCCTGTCCCTCTAGACAGCTGCCGAATGCGACCCCTGCCACACAAACACACACCCAGATGCACAGAATGCTGCGCCGATTTCGCACGCCCCCCGCCGCGCGCGCGACAACATCCTGTCCCTCTAGACAGCTGCCGAATGCGACCCCTGCCACACAAACACACCCCCAGATGCACAGAATGCTGCGCCTGCCACGACTTCGGCAACGGCATCGCCAAAGTGCTGCGCCTGCCACGATTTCGCACGCCCCCCGCCGCGCGCGCGACAACATCCTGTCCCTCTAGACAGCTGCCGAATGCGACCCCTGCCACACAAACACACACCCAGATGCCCAGAATGCTGCGCCTGCCACGACTTCGGCAACGGCATCGCCAAAGTGCTGCGCCTCGTTGCCACGATTTACACGCACACCCCCCGGCGCGCGGCGCGCGTAAACTCCTGTCCTTATAGAACAGCTTGCCCGTGGTCGCAAGCGTGTGTGAGGGATGTGAGTGAGCGATGATGATGTGTGTGATGTGAATGTGGGAATGCGAGTGGAGTGAATGAGAGTGAGTGTGAGTGAGTGAGTGTGCGTGAGAGTTGAAGGTGAGTGAGTGAGTGTGAGTGAGTGGAGTGAGTGTGAGTGACGTGAGTGTGAGTGATTGTGTGTGTGTCGTGAGTGAGCTGTGAATCAGGTGTGAGTGAGTGAGTGAGTGAGTGAGTGAGTGAGTGAGTGAGTGAGTGAGTGAGTGAGTGAGTGAGTGAGTGAGTGTGTGAGTGAGTGAGTGAGTGAGTGAGTGAGTGAGTGAGTGAGTGAGTGAGTGAGTGAGTGAGTGAGTGAGTGAGTGAGACAGTGATGAGGAGGGAGGGCGGGAGGAGGAGGAGAAGGAGACGCGGCGCGCGGACGACGAGCGGTAAAAGTAAGAACCCCGCACAAAGATGCGGGGAACGGCGCGCGGACGACGAGCGGTAAAAGTAAGAACCCCACACAAAGATGTGGGGAACAAACACACACCCAGATGCACAGAATGCTGCAAACACACACCCAGATGCACAAAATGCGCGCCTGCCACGACTTCGGCAACGGCATCGCCAAAGTGCTGCGCCTGCCACGATTTCGCACACCCCCCGCCGCGCGCGCGACAACATCCTGTCCCTCTAGACAGCTGCCGAATGCGACCCCTGCCACACAAACACACACCCAGATGCACAGAATGCTGCGCCTGCCACGACTTCGGCAACGGCATCGCCAAAGTGCTGCGCCTGCCACGATTTCGCACACCCCCCGCCGCGCGCGCGCCAACATCCTGTCCCTCTAGACATGCCTGTCGCCAAAGTGCTGCGCCTGCCACGATTTCGCCACCCCCCGCTCCTGTCCCTCTAGACAGCTGCCGAATGCTACCCCTGCCACACAAACACACACCCAGATGCACAGAATGCTGCGCCTGCCACGACTTCGGCAACGGCATCGCCAAAGTGCTGCGCCTGCCACGATTTCGCACACCCCCCGCCGCGCGCGCGACAACATCCTGTCCCTCTAGACAGCTGCCGAATGCGACCCCTGCCACACAAACACACACCCAGATGCACAGAATGCTGCGCCTGCCACGACTTCGGCAACGGCATCGCCAAAGTGCTGCGCCTGCCACGATTTCGCAACGGCATCGCCAAAGTGCTGCGCCTGCCACGATTTCGCACGCCCCCCGCCGCGCGCGCGACAACATCCTGTCCCTCTAGACAGCTGCCGAATGCGACCCCTGCCACACAAACACACACCCAGATGCACAGAATGCTGCGCCTGCCACGACTTCGGCAACGGCATCGCCAAAGTGCTGCGCCTGCCACGATTTCGCACGCCCCCCGCCGCGCGCGCGACAACATCCTGTCCCTCTAGACAGCTGTGAGTCAGCGAGTGTGAGTGAGTGAGTGAGCGAGTGAGTGAGTGAGTGAGTGATGAGAGTGAGTGAATGAGAGTGAGTGTGAGTGAGTGAGTGTGAGTGAGCGTGAGTGAGTGAGTGAGTGAGTGTGAGTGAGTGTGAGTGAGTGAGTGTGAGTGAGTGTGAGTGAGTGAGTGTGAGTGAGTGAGTGAGTGAGTGAGTGAGTGAGTGAGTGAGTGAGTGAGTGAGTGAGTGTGAGTTGAGTGAGTGTAAGTGAGTGAGTGAGTGAGTGAGTGAGTGAGTGAGTGAGTGAGTGAGTGAGTGAGTGAGTGAGTGAGTGAGTGAGTGAGTGAGTGAGTGAGTGAGTGAGTGAGTGAGTGAGTGAGTGAGTGAGTGAGTGAGTGAGTGAGACAGTGATGAGGAGGGAGGGCGGGAGGAGGAGGAGAAGGAGACGCGGCGCGCGGACGACGAGCGGTAAAAGTAAGAACCCCACACAAAGATGTGGGGAACAAAACACACAGATCGCAGCCTACGTGGGATCTGAACTAGGTCCCCCAGTGGTGCCCTTTTACCGTTTCTTTTTTGGGGGAGGGTTCCCCTACAAGAATAGACTGCAAAAAAACAAATCGGGTACCAACTTATTCTAAGCTCTCAAACTGGAGGACGTGAAGGAACCACTGGTTTTCAACGGTGGCCCGATCCTTCTGGGGCACATGGCAGCTTTCGAGACGCCTCCGAGAGGTTGAGAGGGGCGTTGCACCCCCGAAAGAGGCGCCGGTTTTGTGTTGATTTTTCGTTGGTGAGGCGCACAAACTGGGTGGCAAGCCCAGGCATGCGGTTCCTTGGTGTTTTTTTTTTGCTTTTTCGTTGGTTTAGCGGGGGGTCTTCTTAATGCAAACCACTCATAGTTTAAAAAGACTTTTAGCATGGGATCCGGCAGACTCTTCGTTTCAAGAATTCCCAAGAACTTGGGGCTGCCAGCTTCCTACTGTATCACTCGGAGGTTCTGCGTGGGTTTCAGGGACCCGTGGAAGTATCGAGGGCATGCGCGTGGTGCTGCTGTTGTCAGCACTTGGGATCCCAAACAAGCAGAGGGTCTGAGCTCGCGCCGTGGAACGCTTCAAGTTGCTCGTTCTCAGAAGGAACTGTGGGACCAGCCCCGCCATCCATTCATTCGGATCATTTGATGCTCGTTGTTTGCCATCCAATTGTCGTCCCTATGCAACCGCCTTGGCAAACAAGAAACACAAGCACACGACAAGCACAAGTACAACCACTTGTTGTTTGCGCTCCACGCGTCTTCCTCAAACCACAAGACAAGCACAAGAAGAAGCACTGTAACTTCTCAAAAGCTGTTGTTTCCCCTCCCTCAACGACAAAACCCACCAGTGCAAAGACAGCACCACATCAAACGCCGCAAAGACACAGCCAACAACAAACGCAAATCCACAGCGATTCAGCGGAAGGAGCTGGCCACTCCTCCTGGCTCCTGGGCCGCGCCCTAGCGCCCCTGGCCTCGGATTCCAGCGACGCCGCTTCCGCCGCCGTGCGCGGGGAGGTCTTCGTGGAAGCGGCGCTCGCCGCGGGGCGGCTGCGGGGTCTCAAGGGCGAGCTGCCGCCCAAGGCAGCGGGGGGTGCGGGGGGTGCTGTGGGCATGTGCCAGGGGCGAAGTGACGAGCTAGCTACGGTTGCTTCCGCTTCATGGGCTTAGGGGATGAAACCACAAGGAAAGCCCACGATTTCGTGTCCAAGTCCCCTTTGACACCTGAAAAAGAGAGAGCAAACTGTGAACAACTGGGGGGGGTGATAATGGCGCCGGTAGCTAACAGTGACATGTCATTGACTTTTGGCCTGCTGATGGACATGTTGGACAAGCATGAGAAATCCACACGGGCGCCCTGGGATCACTGGATGGGCATCAGGGCGTTCAAGAGGTTGGAACCGAGCACCTCTGTTCCCGGCTGTCGTACACAAGCCTCACGAAGCGAGGTCCAGTTTTGAGGGCATCTTCCCGCCGCCTGTCAGGTTCCATTGGGTGGGAGGGTACCTGCTGCAGCTCATTCGAGTCACAGCTGACCTGCTCTTTAGGAAGAAGGGGGCGCCAACTGTCCACTTCCCACCCCCCTCCACAGCTTCAACTTCGCCCCAACACATCCAACACAATCCAACCCACCTCACCCAACTCCCCCCCCCCCCCGCAAGGGTGTATTGTTTGCGGGGAAGCCCAAGGAGAACCAGCCCCCTGGCCGGGTGCTTCTCATGGCTGCCTGCAAACTCCAAGCGCCAGGTCTGGCGCTTGGTGGCCCGGCGTTTGGAGTGCCCAGCCTACGAGATGCTGGAGACCCTGCCCTTTGCTGGATGCTTAGATGGTCCTTTGTTGGTGGGCGGGTGGGCGGGTGGGCGGGTGGGCGGGGTGGGCGGGGTGAGTGGGGTTTGGAGGGATGGGCATAGGCTTCCTTTGTACTTGGGGGTGGCTCAAAGTTAAAAGAGCTCTGGCTACGCGGGTTCTTGTCTTTAGTCCCATTTGCCAAGGTGGCATTTTGGTACCACCTTTTGAGCCACTGCCACTTGGCTCCCATTTGCTGAAATTAGAATTTCGTATTTTCCTCTGTGTTTAAAGGGGAATCTGTCACTAGAAGTATGTTTTCTTCCAGGGGGCTTAAGCAAATGGAAGTTGGCTCAACCAGAAATTGGTACCATGCTTTTGGTGTGTAGAGAAAACCAACCACGTTTAGGGGACTATGCGGGTGTGTGCTTTTTGAGGCGTGCCTTTTCGACTAGGTCACAAGGAACACCAACGGGACCACCATTTTTGGCGCCCAACTCCCTATGTTGACACCTCCCGCGCAAAAAAAGGGGTCTTTGTTTTGTGTGGTTTCCCACGTTGACGCCACCCCAAGGCCGCGTTTCCTCCCCCCTGCTCCAAAAAAAGCGCGTCCGCCGCGTGAGGCGCCGCCGCCGGACGCGCGCGAAGCGACTCGCGCTCGGCTCCCTGCGGCTCGCGCCCTGGAGATCTCCAGCTCCGTGGGGCCGCAGTTCGCCCGCGGGGCCTTGGAGCTGTGCGGGCGAAAAGCGCGCGAAAAGAACCCGCGCGCGGGGGGGGGGGGGGCGCGGTGGATGGAGGTGGAAAGGTGATGGGTGCCGATATCCGCATCAAGGAGCTTAGTGACTTGATCCCAAGACAGTTCAAAGCTGGGAGGTCTAAAGCTTGGTCCGCATTGTTTTATCGGAACGCACATTCTCCCGCTGCATGGGCAGTTTGCTTGAAATCAGAATCTACAGGAATAATTTTGCCATTGGTTTCCCTTTGCAGCCACACGTCTAGCCTCATGCCATCTTAGCAACTCTGTGTGTCCAGGGTCCCCAAAGGAATGAATCTACGCCTTTCAACCCAGTCACCTTGACCAGCTTAGGATTACTTCATAAAATCCATAGGTGTACTTTTCGGTAGGTTTGCTTAAAAAATGGAGGGGTTCCCCTGGTTTAGATGGGGCTTATGCCCCATTTGCCAGGGACGCCCCTCTATTTTTCCCAAACCGGCCGTCGCGCATCGGCTCTCTTCCCACCGCCTCGCCGAGCCGCGGAGTCGGCTCCGCGGAGTCGGCTCCGAGTCCACAACCGCGAGGAGTTCTTCAAGCACTGCTCGGCGCCCATGGCCTTCGACCCCGTGAAGGGCTGCTACCTGAAGATCGACGCCAGCACCAACTCGTGCGCACGAGGTTTCGGAGGGGGAGGGAGGGAGGGGGTGGGGGGAGGGGGTGGGGGGAGTCGTTTGTTCGGTTTCGTTTTGAAGTGGGAGTTTCTTGTTTTTTGGGGGTGTGAAGGGCCACCAAGTGCCACCGCATGCCGAGGGATTCGGAAGCTTCTGTAACATGTCAGCTGCAGGTTTTGCAGGCCCCGGCTATCTCTGTGCTTGCCTTCCAGCTTGCCCTGTGCCAAAATCTATTCCGGTCACGACCGCTGCGCTTTTAGCCATTTGACTTTGATGGCGGAAGAGGGCGACGTCCCAGCCGGAACGTGGCTCGTTGGATTTGGCACCCGCAGTCCCTGGTGATGTGGATTGGCACTTCGGTTGCCTGACTCCATCAGGAAAGGCATTAGGACCCACCCCAGAGGTGTTCTCAGCACTCAATCACCCCCTTCTGTTCTGAACACCTCTGGGGCGCCTTTGGTTTTTGCCCCTTGTGTTGGCCATAGGTACGTGGAATGCGATATGCCGCATGACCCCATTGAGTACCCACTGGTGGTCAGTGCTGGCGCCTCCTTAGTGGGGCAGACGGACGAGGCCAGCTGCTGCAATCAGGTGAAAAACAATGGCACACATATGGCTCCGTTTGCAAACGCATGCGCCCCAGCAACATGGGCGATGTTGATTGGTTTCCTTTGAGCCAGTAAGCCAGCAAGCACCACTCCCAAAAAGGGTACCCTTACCCCCACCTGGGAGGGGAGGAGCGCCCGGAAGGCCGCGCAAGCGCGGCGGCCTTCCGCGCGCCCGATTTCGGTGACAGATATGGCGCTAGGGGAAGGGCGCCAGCACTTGACACGTGCCAGGACCTCAATGCCGCAGACAGGCCTCGCAGCATGCTGTTGAAGGACCGCCATTGGGGTAACGTTCGGAGCCAGGGAATGCCAAATGGGATGCCCCTCTATTTGTCAGCCTGGTGCACGCCAAGTGCGGTCCGGATGGGGAGTCCCAAAGGTTTGAATCGCTATTGTTGAGCTTTCAGAGGTTTTGAGCAAATGAGTAGATTGAAGGTTTCCAAGCACCAGCCGGTGTCTGATCTCAATCCATAGGAAGGCCTCAACTGGCGTCTGGCGGACTTATCTTTTCTTCCACCGGAAAGGAAACACTTTATTGTCCTGCTGCGCGTGTATAGTTCCGGATAGGAGCCTTGTCATGGAATCGTACTGTCAACATGTTCACCGGATCGAGGCGAGCAATCCAAATCATAGAGTTTGCGATAATGTCTAGAAGGGCAAGCATCAGATTAGCCGCAGGTATGTCTTGAGAAGCTACATCTCGCAACATTAGATACTGCTCGCCTGTTGACCACAGAAGATCGAGTGGCTTGCGTGTTTGGGACGGAAGAGGCTTGTTCCACAACCAGCTGTGCAGTACAAGACGGGCACTTGGTTGCGACATCCACCGGTTGTTGTCTGTGGTGCGCCGCTGGAGCGCAGGAGCTGGTGAAGACTGGGATTGCCATGAAGACACCATTGTTCTTCTTGGATCAGCCGGTGACTTGGTGGGGCCGCGTTCATTTAGCACCGCTTGGATGTTCAACGAGCTTCGCAAGTAGCCTGTAATCAGCTAAACTCCCACCGATTAATACCTGACAGGGGGTCCATCTAAAAGGAAAATGGTCTTCCAGGACCGCCCCGTGTTCCATGTTATTTGGTGGGAGGGTAAGTCGTCTTAAAGCCATGGTTGCAACCTTGACACGTCGAGTTGAAGCTCAGGGGTGCTGATGGCCAGCCAGAAACTGGGCTTGCCATTCTGCGGCTTCCCTTTTTGGGTTTTGGATTCTGGGTTTCCCATTTTTGGGTTTTTGGATTCTTGGTTTCCCATTTTGTGCGGGTTTCCCATTGGGCCGCTTCCACTCCGACGGCACCGGGTTTTCGGGTTCGAGCCCCGAGGCCCGCTGCCTGCTTCGCCTTGTTCGACGGGGTGCGAGGCATGTCCGTTGGGAACCACTGCAATTGAATGGCCCGGTGGCTTGCTGTTCATGTTCCACCCTGACGAATGTTAACCCCGGATTAATAAACCCCTGGTTGATTAATAGGGGGGTGTCCCCCTCTAGTGGGGATTCATCACTTTTGGAGGGAACACCCCCCTAATAGTGGGACGGGTTTATTAATCCTGGGTCAACATTAGAGTAAACAGTTCATCAGCTCTTCAACTTATTCTTCCGCAACTTGCCTTTGGCCTTTCAGTCGTATCGATCTATTTGAAGGGCCCCAAAACTTGCTGGTTCTCAGCAGGAATGACCCCCCATTTTCCAACCTATGGTTTCCCTCCAAAAATCCCGACACGGTTCATTCCCAAACCCCGACCTCGTTTTCCTTCCCTATCTACCGCACCAGCAAGCTGCATTTGGTTAAGAATATTTTATATTTTCCCCTGCTGGCTTTAAAGGGAATCTGTCACTACTGGACATATGTTTATTTTCCAGGGGGCAAAAAACAAATTGAGGTTTTAATGGGTCGCTCGGGTTTGCAAACTATTTTTCCAGGGGACGAAAAAACAAATGGATGCAAGAACTGCCCTTTTGAACGCCTCGGCTTCCGCTTGGACTCGGCTAGCGCGAGGTGGTGCGGCGGTGGAGTGGTGCTCCAAGCACTTCCACACCAAGCTTCTGCCTCAGCTCAGCGTGTGGAGCCCCGGTGAGATCAAACGGCCTAGGTGGCCGTGTTGTCACAACCAATGGATCCCATTTTGGTGGGTAGGTGAATTCACCACCCAGTTTGGAACCTATTTTGCTGGGGATTGGGATGTTCACTGGGGGTACGGGATTTTGACCCATGGTTGTAACTATCTTTCTGGCTACTTCGCTGGATCCCCTAGCTTTATGGCTCTTTGGTTGCGGATCTTTGGACTTTAACTTTTGGTTGAACCAGGTCGGATTTTTGGAATTGGCCACAAAAAGTCAAGCTTTTGGCGGAGGGGTGAACAGCGACCAAGCTATGGCAACTAAAACATGACACACCCCAGTTCCCCCAGTTGCAGGCTTGCATAAAACCTATGGGCAACCACTTGGTAAGTAGCTCAACTGGGGTTAGCTTCCCAACCATGGTTATAAGCTACTTACGAGGGGGGTTGGACATCCAAGCCACCTTGAGTCTCCTGCTGCCTGTTTGGCCAGGACCCCCAAGCACAAGCAGGATGACCCATCTTGGTTTCGGGGGGGAGGGGTGAAGAGAGAGGAATCGTGAAGATGAGCATGTAGCACCCATCCGCCCCCTCCCCCACCAGAATGTGCACATGATTTTGGCCCGGTGCCAAACCCAAACATGCTGTGTGGGTGCACCACCCCGAAATCCCAAACGCATGCCTGAACCTGGAGTTGCTTGAGCTGTTGGATCCAGCTGGAGACCGGGGCCAGCCGGCCGCGCAAAGCCCAAGACTTGCAGCTGAGACACCCCTTCGCTCTCTCGCAAACGGGATGTCGTGTGTCGAGCTTGCCCTCCTACCTTTCTAGTGTCGTGCTTCAGGGGAGCCTTTGGCGAACAGAAGCCTACCGTGGCAAAATATCTTTTTCTGTGTGCCTTACGGCCTTTTTGCATCCGCTGTGATGCAAACGGAAGCCGATCCTTTTGCAACACGCCCAGCCAGCCGGTTTCGGGCGGTTTCGGGCGTGCAGGCATCCATCACCAGCTGGCGGGACAGCGACCTGAGGCCTCAGAAGTTTTTTTCTCTTTTTTTGTTCTCCTCTTTCTCTTCACCTTTCAAAAGGAGAGGCCATGTTTGGTGGCCGTTTTCGGCTTTTCCGATGTTGGTTCCAAGATCTAGGTGCCATGTTCGGCGGCTTTCTTAGTCCAGGTTGACGATTTTGAGCAGTTTTGCGTAGATGGATGAAGGGACGGACCAGCGAGGGGGGGCGCCTTTGCCACCTGGCCATGGGTCAAAATCCAAATCGCACCCCCAGTGAACATCCCAATCCCCACTCAAATAGGTTCCAATCGTGGTGAGTTCACCTACCCACCAAACTGGGATCCCAATGGTTGTGACAACCACAGCCACCTCTGCGGGCCAGCGGATCCGTTCCGCGCTCCTTCGCCTCGCCAGGGATCTCTTTGGCTCAATCCTGGCAGAGCTGGACGTCCTGGCGCCCAGTGGGCCGGGCTGTTCATCGAGCGAACCCATCCTAGGGGGGAAGGCAGGTAATGGGAACCCGTCCTGCTAATAGGATTGCCTACCACATTTGGTGACCTTTTTTTGGGGGGGGAGTCTTGTTGTGTTTACTGTTGCTTGCCCGTTGTTTCAGATACACAGCTGTTCATGTCACAGGAAAACAGGACGTCCTCGCCGCCCGCAGTTCGGTACATATTTCATAAGGGTGTCTTTTTTTAGGGGACCCTGCAAAATGGTGGTTTCCTCTTGGTTCCCCTGTAAAACTACAAAGGAAAGGTATATACCCTCAAGAAAAGACAGACCTGTATTGCATTACTTTGCCGAAATTCAACTTAGCGTTCTGCCAGCGACGCACTTTCAACTGCAAAAGGGTGTAAAGAAACGAGCCAGGATGTGCAAGCCAAGGGCTCAATGTGCCGTGGTATTGCCTATGCAGCATTCAAGCAGAGGAAGCCAAGTTAGAAAGCGAAGGTTCCATGACTTCAACTGCGGTGGGCCAAGCGTCTGGGACACCTGCGACAACATCAAGTTCAAATTCATTGGCGTCAAACGGTAGGCGTGCGTAGTAACAGCGCGTGTCACCCAGAAAATTAAGATTCTCACTAAAAGGGACCCCCCCATATTCATCAAGGGCTTTACGAATCCGGGGTCAACATTAGTACGCATGATTCTGACTGGGGTGGTATGGGATTAGTTCCCTGAGAATGTGATTGGCCATGGATATCACCGGACCTACATACTAGTAGGTGGTCAATTTGGCGCCACCGTCAGACCAAGTTGCGAGTTTTGTTTGGAAGTGCCCGCATCCAGGGTTGACATGTTTGTATTGTTGTGTTTTACATTGTAGGGCAAACCATGCCAGTCTGTGTGGTCCCTTTGTCTCCCGAAAAGCGCGCATTTTCGAGGGGTATTTTTGGTTTGGCGGAGTTTTGTGTATGTAGCCCTTGGGCAAAAAATAACACATTTCGGGGGGGAGGGTCATTGCATATCAAGTTGGGCAAATGGTCAAACGTTTCGCCGTTGAATTTTGTTTACAATCTGTTTTCAAGTTATCCAACTTTCCCATTTTGCGGTCGAGACAAGACCCCAAACGGCCAAGGTCCAGCTGGTTCAGCAACCTGGCTGCTGCTGGGAAGGCGTGTCCATCTCTATCGTCCGCGGCCTCAAATCGGTCGTTGCTGGAACCGTCGTTGCTTGCAGTACCAGTTGTGTGGCTGGCTGAAAGGGAAAGCAAAGAACATCACGTCATCCATTTGGAGGCCTCCTACAAATCAGAGACAAGCCAAAATCGCTAGGTTGAAGGTCGTCCCTGATGGATTCACATGGTGAGTTGCAAACAACCCCGTGTTTCCTTGCAAATCGTGCCCCAGATGGTTGGGTTTTGTCGGCCTTCCTTTTTGGAGCCCCACGTTTTTGGCTGCTTTGAATGGGAGTCGCGACGCAAACGCAACTCGCAACTCGGGGGAAGTGCCGAAGGCAACGACACAGGGAAATCCATGTTAGCAAACGCGTAGCGTTCGCAAATGGTCCTCGTGTGTCCTTAGGCGGAATTGGCTTGGGGAATGATCTTGGAAGGCGATTTGCCGTTCTTCTGCCCAAACCCCCGGAAGCCGGCCTCATCAAGTGCTCGCAGCTTTTTTTTCCCTCCGAGTGGGCTTCAAGGGTCTGTTTAGGGGAGCCATGGGTCTGTCTTTTTTGAGTTGGCGCCCCCTTTTGGTTGGTTTAGGGGAAACCCAACAGGAAAACCAACCCCATGTCTTGACTGCTATTTGGTTGGATCTGTAAACTTCAACCTTTTTCGAAATCAAGTTGGGTTTTCCACCAAACCCCCAACAAGTTGGTGTTTTTTTGCAGGGGGGTCAACTGGAAAACCAACCCATGGCGCGCCATGTTTGCAAAAAAAAACGAAGCCGCCCGCATCTGAAGGCTTGGAGCTTTGCATCTGAGGCTTTGGTGATGGGCGACCGCCTGGTGGCCGGGAGCTGAGCCATATGTTGGCTTGGCCTTTTCAGAAAGGCAGAGGAGGACGGTTAAACGAGAACACCAACCATCTGGAGGCAGGTGTTTTGATTGGAAACCGGAGTGCGCCCAACCACTGCAACTCCTTTTTACATTTTTGTTGAGATGGTTGTACAGAGACACCAAAAGGAAGCTCTCTCCTTTTTTTTTGGGGGGGGGGTTTTCAGGGTAACGTTTGGTGGTTTTCAAGAGAGACCATAAGAACCGGATTTGTTGTATTTTTTATTTTATTTTTTTTGGGGGCCGGGGCAGCTATTGTGACACCCAACCGTCCGCGTACATGAGTGCTGGAAGCTAGGTACTTCTTCGCTTCTACTTCTGGAAGCCCCAAAACGAGACGATGGCATGCCCACAGGGTGTCCCTTTGGCTGCTGGCAAAAAGCCAAACCCAGGAGAGACATTAATGAGGCCCAACCCAGACAGGATCCCATGGCATCCTTCCAAGAACCCTTTCTAAGAAGGTCCCATGAAGAGCACACTTTTCTCTTTTCTCTTTTTTTTTTTTGGTAAGTTGGCAGGGGAAAGAGCTCTGACTTGGTTACCTCCTTTGTTGGTTACCCCGTTTTGTTTTTGTTTTGTTTCATCGGGTTTGCTTGCGCCAGGGCAGATGCGAGCTCAGGTCGCCAGCCTTGGCGGGACCCGTGCCTTGGCCCGGAGCCCCACGCGACTGGAAACGCGGCAGCTGGGAATTGGGCCGAGGTGGGTTGGAAGCCTGTGGGCTTGGGTTCAAGCCCGCGTTTTTTTGTTTTTGTGGGGATTGTTGAAAATAAGAGGTCAATGATAGTGCTGAACTGGAGTGCAACTGTGCAGGGCGCAGCAAGAAGGTAACAGCAAGGAGTCGCGTTCTCGTTTTGTGATGATGCAGCCATAGAACTGCGGGCTTCAACAGGTTGCTTGCGTTTCCTTGCCACCTAAGTTGCTGGTGCTCAGTAGGAGATGAGGGAATGAACCCAGAGGTCCCTTAAAGATTCTTAAAGGACACCACAAGGGATGGTTTATAGGGGTCATCCCCTCATTCCCTACTGAGCACCAGCAAGCAAACCCAGTGGCAGGGTCCAGTGCGTCAACGCGGAAGGGGGCGGCTCACCAAACGGCAGCCGCATGTGCCGAGATCATCAGCCCCGCCGGCGGCTGGAGGGCGCTGGACGGCAGACACGGCACCAGCTCGCCGGATGAGCAGAAGCGCATCAAGGCATTCGCTGGGGCGAGATGTGTTGCTAGCGGGTGGTTGGAAGGGAGCTAAGGAGCTGGGGGTATCCAAGTTGCCTTTGCAGAGGGAGCTAAGGAAGTCATGGTCGATTGGGATGTGTGTTATTTCAGGGTATCCTGGCCAGGTTGGTACACCGGTTGCTTGGAAGAGAGGCACCTTTTCTGGGGTCCCCATTTGGACATCACCCCCCTTGTGGTGCAGTGGCATCCTGGTGGCTTTCTGGCAAGCCGAGAAGGTCAAGAAGAAAACGCGCTAATGCCAAGAGCAAAACAAGCAGGCGCTGTTGAGTGTTTTGATGTCAAAAGAAATGGTACCCCTCCAAGAAAGAAACACGCCTTCTGAACTGACAGGTTCAATTTAAAACGCCTGGGTAAACGTATGGTGGCCCACGCGCGCAGAACCTTCCTGTGGCGAATCCTGAGAGTTTTGTTTTGGCGCTTGGCCATTCGCTGGTGGTAAGCCATGTGCATGGGCCAAAATGGCCCAAGTCAGACGCAGACTTTCAGGTACCCTCTATTTGGTGGTCTGGATTGGTGGTTTGGATTTGGATTTGACAATTTGAAGTTCTTGTGGAGGATAAATTGGAAACTATCCCCCAAACCACCAACCACCAAACCGCCAAAGGAAGCTGAGACCTTGCGAAAGGTGGGAACGCACATCCCCATTTACCCGGTCTGTTCAAAGGCAATCCTTTGAGTCTTTCCCTTCCAGGCACAATTTGGGACCCTTGGTTTCCCTTCAAGGTATCCAATTGGGTTCCCTTTGAGGCAGACTGTCTATTTCGGAGGGACCCCCGCCCCCAAGTGGTGGTTTTCCTTTTGGCTTTCCTTTAAAACCAACCAAGAAACGGGCTTCCCTAAAAAGACCCTTTAAAACCCAGCGGAAAAAAAAGGAAAAGAACAAAGAACAAGTGGCATCCCTAAAAAAGACCCTTTCAAACCAACCAAAGCGGGATTTCTCCAAGAAAAAGACAGAGGTCCCATGTTTCCGGGGTGTTTCTTTTCTCAGTCAGCGGGCCTTTGCCCCACGCAGGCGCTGGGGGCCGAGATCGTGGGTGAGGCCACAGGCACAGGCGTTGTGCAGGCACCCTTCGCCGGGATCCTCAGAAAAGGATTTGGGGAGGGGTTGAGGGGGGGCCTTCCGGTTGAATGAATCTGCACATGGGTGTTCTTCGAAACAAACAATTCACAGAATGGGGTGGGTGTCCTTTGGTGTCCAGTGAAGATCCCACGGGGTAGCATCAAAAAAGCCCCCGATTGTTCCTTGAAGTCAGGTCAGCGTCGAGACCGAAACCATGGCAGCATCAATGTGGCTTGCAGGATGGCCGGTGCCCCTCCATGAGCCAAATCAGAATCCACATGGGATGTTCCTATCCACAATCCAAGTCACGAAGCAGCTAAATATCTATGTAAGGAATTAGGACATTGACGAATTAGCTGGCTAACTGACGAGCTAACCAAGAAACAAGCAAACGCATAAACCACCCAGCACAGAAAGAGAGAAAAGCAGAACCACAAATACGAGGCAGACAGACAGACAGACAAGCAGACAGGCAGGCAGGCAGAAAAACAGAAAGACAGAAAGACAGAAAGACAGAAAGACAGGAAGACAGGAAGACAGGAAGAAAGGAAGGAAGGCCTGAAAGACAAAGAGAGACATAAAGAAACAAATAAAGAAAGAAGGCCAGACAGACAGACAGACAGACAGACAGACAGACAGACAGACAGACAGACAGACAGACAGACAGACAGACAGACAGACAGACAGACAGACAGACAGACAGACAGACAGACAGACAGACAGACAGACAGACAGACAGACAGACAGACAGACAGACAGACAGACAGACAGACAGACAGACAGACAGACAGAAGGAAGGAAGGAAGGAAGGAAGGAAGGAAGGAAGGAAGGAAGGAAGGAAGGAAGGAAGGAAGGAAGGAATGACAGACAGAAATAAATAACACATAGATGAATGCATTGACTAACTCAGTAACCAACTAACCAGCTAACCAACTAGCTAACTAACTACCTAGCTAATCAACTATCTAGCTAACCAACTAACTAACCAACGAACTAACTAACTAACAACTAACTAACTAACCAGCTAACCAACTATCTAGCTAACCAACCAACTAACTAACTAACTAGCTAGCTAGCTAGCTAGCTAGCTAACCGACAAACTAACGGAGCAGTACATAAACGATACGTAGATCAGTTACACAAGTAGATACAAGTATATCTATATGAACAACACATCAACAAACACATCACTACTGTAATTAAACCCACATGAACCTAGCAATTCATGTTTACGACAATGAATAGACAGCACAACGTAAACATAAAGCCAGGCATTTCGTCAATCAAGGAATGACGAGCACAATGAATGAAGTCGGCACAAAGCGCACAGGTCCATAAAGCTGTAGGGAATGAAATGACAAAGCAGAAATCAATCAACACGACTCAGAGCGAGAGAACTGAACAAGCCAAGAAAGAGAGAAAGGATGTGATGGGAGAGACAGGAAGGGAAGGGAAGGGAAGGGAAGGGAAGGGAAGGGAAGGGAAGGGAAGGGAAGGGAAGGGAAGGGAAGGGAAGGGAAGGGAAGGGAAGGGAAGGGAAGGGAAGGGAAGGGAAGGGAACAGACAGGAAGGAGCCAAGAAGGAAGGGCCAGACAGAGAAACAAGACAGCAAACGAGCAAACAAAGAAACAAGGCCACCCCCCCCCCCAATTTCCTGTCGCTCCCCAGCTATAGCAAAGCACCAAGCCGACAGCTGAGGTGCGAAAGGCTTTGAGGGCCAGGGAGTGGCAGGTGTCGGAGGACGCAACGGCGGAGGAGGAGGCGGGCGAACTTCTGGGGTCCCTAACGGGCCACAAAGTTTCGCCTGTAAATTAAACAGGCTTCGCCTTTGGGTTGGGTAAAAAGATCTCACCTGAAGAGGAAATATAGATCTCACCCAAAGGATCTCACCCAAAGATCTCACCTAAAGATCTCACCTTTGGGTTGGGTTGGGGAACGTTGCAATGGTATCATAAGTGGGGGTGCAGGCCCCCAGGAATTCCAGGCTCTTTGGGCACGCGAGCTGCAGCCTTCAGCTTCCGGCGTGCCAGGTCAGAAGGGTCCTCGACGCGGCCCCGGACGTCTTTGCCGCGCTGGGTCTCGGCGTGGAGGACGAGCTTTCAAATGCCAAAGCGGTGGGCCAGTGAAAGTCGTGGGTTGGTCTCAAAAGGGAACACCCAAAAAAATCCTGGTGGCCTTTTGCTTCGCGTTTAAGGAGCCTCGCAAAAGACACAACCCCAGATGGATCAGTCGGACGTGGGCGTTCTGTCGCGGACAAACCATGGGTGTTCCTGCATCAAACCAGCCCCATTTTGGACATCTGAGAGGGAAACCAAACGGAGAACCACCATGTTGGGGTCCAATTCCTGAAACAAGACCTCCTTTAGTTGGGGATCTCTTCCCGATTCGGGTGACACACTAGCTTGCCATATTGTACGTTGTTGAAAGGGGAGCCGAACAAAAACTGCGGTCCCATCGTGGGGTTCAGCCATTGATGACTTAAACCCACATAGGCCTCCCCCCTCTCCTGTTCCCCTTGGCTTTCCAGTCATCCAAAGCTCCGAAGCGCTGGGCGCTTGCCCTCGGCCGTCTTAGAGGACGCAGTGGACGGCAAGATGGCGCGCTCGTCCTACAAGAAGCTGGCCCTGAAGGCACAAAAAACCGCGCTTTTCGAGCGGCGAGAGAGTTGATCGGGAGCAAAGACATTTCTCGTCCCAAGTGATTCTACGGGTGTGTGTGTCGTCTTTTTGCTTGGGGCTCGGTACACGTGTTTTGCTTGGTTTTAGAGGGAACCCAAAAGAACACCGCCAATTTTGTTTTGAGCGAGGGGGCGGAGCTAGACAAATACACACCCATCTACAATGTGGACAGGAATCACAGATATGATTTTGGAGGGCTGGCTGAGGCAGCGCGCATGCGTGCTGTAATTTATGTTTCCCTTGGAACCAAAAAAAGCAAGAACTCTATTGGTAGCGATGGGGCTAGTGTCTATCTATTTATAGATACACATGCATATGTACATATAGATATGCATGTGTTTTTTTTTAATGTACACCTACTAATTGTTGGATCATAGCCCATGTCGGGGTTCTCCAACTTCTCGAACCGCAGGTGCACCCCGACAAGGCGCCGGAGGAGCTGAAGGCCCCTTGGCAAGCCACCGGAAAGGGATGGTTTCGGTTGGGTGAGAGTCTCACCTCCCGCGTTCCGTTTTGGGAGCTTGGGGCTTCTTGGGTGACCAATTTTATGGAAAGCAAACAATATTGGTTACCCTTTTTTCGTTTTGGAGCTTCTTGGGTTTGGACCATTTTAATGGAAAGCAAGCAATATTGGGTACCCTTTTTTTTGGCCCATCCACTGAGGAAGTGAGGAGTGGCTCGCAGAATTCACCCAGTTAGGTCTAGGGATTTTCTTGGACTTACTCCAACATTTTGAACTTGTGCCACCTACTTTCATTCTGATATAGGACATTGGAATTATGTAATATCTCTAAGATATCTTGTAGAAGCCAATGCAGGGACCCCCCCAAAAGAAAGCCGATCCGGTGTTTTCTTTGGGTGAAGGGCCCCTTTTTGGCTCCATGCTAAGAAGTGTTCGGGGTGTGGTGTGTGTGTGTGTGTGTTTGATTTTTTCCCGGCCATACTTCAACCACTTAGTGGCGTGAATGGTTCTTTGACGAACAACACGACACACCCCTTGCCACAAATAGATGTGGACATCTACCTTTGATTCTCTGCTTGACTTTTGGTAGACTCATTGCATACTAAGCTTCGTTTCTCAGACTGGCTGTTCCCGATCCAGAGGAGTGAGGGGATACATGGGTGTGTGTCAAAACTGGTCACCTCCAGGTCTGATTGGTTCTATGTTGCCAGGTCCCCTGAGAAGCGAGTTCCCAAAAGAAGGGGCCCCAAGTTCGACACAGGAATCTGTGAGGCGATTTTCTCCCCAGGGCACTGAGATAACAACATCAACTAAATGGTGTGTCTTATCATGCGTGTTGCTGCGCTGGGCCCAGAATTGAACACGCCATGCATGTTCCTCGGGCGCCAGGCCAAGACTTTTGCAATTTGTTGGCAGTAAGGCAGCGGTAGGCAGGGAACCCGTGAGTTTCTTCTGGGCGTCCCAAACGGGACCCCTGACTCAGACCTCACTAGACAAGGTGTCCCTGGTACGGCAACAAACATCCGACCGAAAGAGAAGCCATTGGGGTGTTTTCCTATTTTTTTAGGGGACCCCCCCCAAAAACAAGAGAAGAAAACAAATAAATCAAGAAGTAAATGAATGGTTTTCCTCTTGGTTTCCCTTTAACACCAACCAAACATGGGGTATCTAGGCGGCTGCAAAGAAGACGAGCCACCCATCAGTTTCTAGACTTTGAGCTCTTCGTTTTGCCTGCGGTGCGATGGATCCCCAACCAAGCAACACCCCGCGTTCGAAATGCACGGGGATGTTGGCCGGCCGCAAATCAGATGAAACGGCTGGGGGGGGGGGGGCACGATTTTGACCGGGGTGGGGTGGGGTAGGGTGGGGTGGGGTAAGGTGGGGTGGGGTGGGGCGGGGTGGGGCGGGGTGGGGGGGTGGGGTGGAGGGTTCCATTTTGTTGATTCCCTACGAGCTCAAACCCAGTGTCCCCCAAGAGGGGACCCGGGTTTAAGTCTACCACAGTCCTCTGCTCATATTTCGTCAAGCGCGCAGTCTCTCACTTGCGCGGTGACCTAAACTCAGCTTTTGGTTTCTCTGTGCTCCTTTTTTAGTGGCAGAAGGTGATCGCCTTTCATTTCTGGGTCCCTCCATGTGAGCCTCAAAACCCGGGTAGATGAAGGGTAAGGGGCAGTCCCAGCCAGAAATAGTTGCGGATATCCGCCTTCTTAATTCTTTGCATGGTTCTGGGCAGACCATTTTAATACCGGGATTTGATTGTGACTCGCCTTCTCGGCAAGTGATTTCCCACGCGCGATCGCCAGGCCCGGGCCAAGGAGGCGTTCGAGAAGGTGGAGAATGCCGCGGCCGCCGTGGAGGCGCAACCTATGGGGGAAGCCAAGCAAGCCGGAAATGCGTGGAGATGTGTGTGTATAAGGTTATATTACATGTATGTATGGTATATTTAGTATAGTTACATGTATATTCTATATAGCATGTATAGGCAAGTTATCTTTCAAGCCGCCGGTGGCAAGTAATTTGTATTGCTTTTTGCGTTTGTTCTTTAGTATTCCTTTTGTTGGATGCCTTTTTTCGGCATACTCAAAGTGAGGCTCCCTTGAAATGATGATGCGTTTTTTCCTCAGCTTGGCCAGGCTTTTTGCGAGACCGACGCGGAAGCCACCCAGACCTTGCATCGCATTTTGCAATCCGCGCGGGGCTTAGGGCAGTAGACGGTGGCTAGGTCCCCCAGTAGTGCCCTTTAACCCTTTTTTGGGGGAGGGTTCCCCTACCAAAATCGACAAAAGGGTGCCCTTATTTTAACCTCTCAATTGGAGGACCTAGGTGGGGTGGGGCTGGAGCTTAGGTCGAGTGAGCCGTGGTTCGAGAGAACCTTCGCAGGGTTCCATGGGCATTGTCTCAGAATGTGAGAATGTTTGTGGGGGCACGCACCGGGCAGCGCTATGTCAGAAATCGCAAGGCACACCCTGCCAGCATTTAGAAAGTAATTGAGCGTGATCTTAAAGGCTGCGCGTTACCATGATCACGGAATTCGGGTAACCTAATTTGTGACCAAGTGCTCATCGGCGACTTGCCGCAGGCCGGGAAGCGTTGATCCCGCTTTTGACCAAGTAATTTGAAAAGGACGCCGGCCCATCGCTCGACGTGATCTTTGGGAGGGCGAGGAAGTCCTGAAAAAGCAACTGGGGGATGGGGGGCACACCCGAAATGGAATTCCATTTGTGGTTCCATTTTCCCTTTTCTAGGGAAGAACCATGGGAACTGGGGGACCCACCCCCCGCTCCCTCTATAGGGATCGCCAACCTAAAAAAGGGATGCACGCCCTCACCTCCGCAATGAGGCCGGCGGCAGCAAGGCCGCCGTGTCCAGAGCTGTGGCCCCGGGGCATTTGTGCCGTGGGATGCTTTGGGTGGCCATGGGATTCCTACCGTGGATGGTTGCGATATCCGATTCGCGCACCGTTCAGAAACCATGGTTGAAACCACAAGGGTTTGTCGGCATTTGCAAGAACATCATGGGAATCATAGCATTTTCTTGGGTTTCATAGGTGGTGCGAAATGGATTTCGTCCATCCACAGCATCATGGGAAAACATGACCACGACCCACCACATATCATCACATATCTGAGTGATTTGACCTTGGGCAAAGGTTGCCATGGTGTGGTTGCTTGGGTGCAGTTTGGAAAGGAATGGTTGCTTAGCTCCTGGCTAGAAGAGGGGCCATGGCAACACACACACACACACATAGCAAATTGTTGGTATTCCTTTACGCGATGGGGAGGTTGTCCAATCCCTGCTTCCCGATTAAACGGGAGCATCGTTGATAAACATCTCCGCGGTGAACACGATTGAACAAGTACATGGCTATGAGTTTCAATAGGGAACCACCTCCAAAGTGGTTGGCGAACATGACTCCCCAGCTAAATGATGTCCACCACAGGGTAGAAAAACAACACTCATGTTGATTGGACCTTGGGGTGCTGATGTTTGGCCATTTCGGTCCTTATCCATACGGGGCTCTGCCTTTTTTTTTGGGCAAGCACGCGCAGAATCGCATGTTCTACCCTGCCACGAAGCCTGACATGGAGCCTGACTTGGGCGGTACCTTGCAAAGCAATTGGAGGGATCATACGGGTAATTATATCTATATATATATATATGTACACTAGGGGCATCAGCAACAAGAGTAGGCGGTTCAAGACGTTGTTGGTGCTGACGGCACCTCTTGCTTGGCACCACCCCCCCCTTTCATTTGGATAAACTCCATGGGTCATCTAGGGTCATCTAGCTCAGCCGCGGGTGTTTTTCGAGCCAACCACTTGTGCCTTTCACCCCCCCCCCCCCCAAAACAAACAATCTGATCAAATCCCTGGGTCCACTGGGTTTCCCCCCCCCCCCCCAACACACAAATTTGAGCAAATCTGTTTTTTTTTGGTTCTCCTGCGTTCTTGTGTGGGCAGATTTGGGCTTCGAGGCTCGGTTTTCTGGACAGCTTCGGAGGCCTTGGCGCTGGAAGTGCTGGGCCTCGACGAGGGCGTTACCCTCGAGGAGGCATGTGGCTGGGGCTGGGGGCGGGCGGAGTGGGGTGTGTGCCACGGCTTTGGACGAAATTCGCTATTCGCAGCACCTAAAAAATAACCTGGTGGAAACCACACTGTTTTTGTCGTCGGTGTTTACAGGGGTATCATGTATCATTCCAGGGATTTCAGGGTGTCTTAGGTGGTGCAGGAATCACGGATATGTGCCCAAGCCTTTGACCATCCCTGTGCTCCATCCACCCTGAAGCAACTCACCATGTGGGGGTTGTTCTAGGGGAAATGCGAAAGACACTGACCATTGTGGGGTTGTTTTAGGAGTGTGGCTTGAAAAGCAGATCTTGAGGGTGTGGCTTTGAGCCCTTGACGAGAAGGTGACAGCGACAGTTACACCCTTCATGGGCTTGGCTGGTGGTGTCAGCTGCTGGGGGAAATCGCCAAATTAGACAATGGATTCACCCATGGCTCACTGTCCTGGGGTTGGTTCACTACCCTTCCTCCAACTATCATGGCAACTGACAGGGCTCCCTGTAAAAGGAAATGAATCTTCCAGGTACCTCCCCAAAGGTGCTATAGTTGGAGGAAGGGTATATGGTGCGAACCCCCTTGACAGAACAGCCTTGACTTGCGGAGAAGCCGAGCTGCCGCGGTGAGAATCCCTTTCGTTTCGCCAGGCCGGCAAGAAGGGCCGGGCGCGGAGCTCGGTTACTTGGAGCTCGGTTCCTTCAAGGGGAGCTTTTGGGCCCTTGAAGCAGCTCATACTCCGCTTCTCGCACCTGGGAAAACATCCTTGAAGCCACTGTTTGTTGGTATTTATGTTGGGGAGTCACATCATTTCGTTGGGTTTCTGAACGGTGGTGCGGAATGGATTTCGTCCATCTACGCACAAGCACTTGTTCAATCTTTCATTTTTGAATGGGTTGAAAAGGGGAAGGGGATGGAAGGGTCTGAAAAGGAATAAAGAGTCACCCATCTCCCTAAAGGAATCAGCACCGCAAGACTGACTTGGCTTGGGTGGCCTCCTTGAGGGAAATAAGTGTGAGTTGTGAGTTTGATTTCAGCCTCCTTATGATCCCCCGATCGGATTGCGCGAGCATGTCTGCGCCGTCTCGGTGAAGCAGACACATGCTGCAGGGCTGCGCACTGTACATGATCCATTTGGCTGTGGGTCAAAACCAATGAGATCCCATTTTGGGGTAGGTGCACCACCTATGTTAGTCTATTTTAGTGGGGGTTGGGATGTTCACTGGAGGTACGGGATTTTGACCCATGGCCATTTATAGCTCCTCGAAGCAGCTGCACGGCAAACAGCCACCAACCCCGGTGAACCACGAAAAACAAAAACCAAAAGGAGAGGAAACGCCCCGCGTCGCATCTCCGCGGGCGCATCTCCTCCACGCACCTCAGCCACACCGAGGAGCTGCGGGAGCAGATCATGAAGCTGGGCATGCTGACGGATGGCAACTACGGGCACCCGGACCAGGTGGGACTGGAGCTCGAGTTGGGGGCGGAAGGATGCGAGAAAGGAGCCTCAGGAACTAGGAGCACGAAAAGTGTTGTCTTTCAACCAAAAGGGGCGGGGCCCTTTGTGTTTTTGCCTGGAGGGTTCCTTTGTTTTGTTTGTTTTCCTGGGAGGGGGGGGGAGTCGATTGTTTCCTTTGTAGCAATTTGCCCAGAAGGAACAGAAATTGCATGGGATGGATTGCCTCAGTGGTGCGTCAGGTGTGATCCTGAGGATCATCCAATCCGTTGGCTTGAACTCTTGACTCCCCTGCAAATTATTGAGCCCAACAAGGGTCTCACCAAGGGAGGTTCCTGTGAGAAGAACCTTTTTTTGGGTTCCATGTTTATTGGCAGGTAGGAGTGTGCAAATTGACCTTAGCCTTTCTTTGGGGCCGCATCACGCGTGCCTCACCACGGTCCAGCACATTGGCCACCAAGGCCACTGAGTCAGCCAAGTTGACAAGGCAACTGACTTGAGCCCCAGAAACTTGACTGCTATCGGGTTGGATCTTTAGACTTCAACTTTTTGGGAAATCAAGCAGGTTCCCACTAAACCCGCGAAAAGTGAAACTTTTTGGAGGGGCGTCAGCAGCAACCCAAAGGAAACCCGCAAACGAACTCCCCCAACTTGAAATTGAGATGCCTATGAGATACTTGGCCCAGGCGGAGGCGGTGCGAATGATCGAGGAGGCGGCGGAGGCCATCGCCGCCCGGGCCTCGCAGGTTGCGCAGGTCGCGTTCCCGGCGTACGGCCTTGACCGGAAGGGCTCGGAAGTGGTAAACCACTTGGGTGAGTCTTTTTTTCGGAGGAACCCCCAAAATGGGTTGGGTGAGTCTTTTTTTCGGAGGAACCCCCAAAATGGGTTGGTGTCCTTTTGGCTTCCCTTCAAAACCAACCAAGAGACATGTACGCCCCGCCTTCATAAAAAGCAAGCCATTGCGGTCGAGCGAGTAAGACCAAGCACGTCGTGATAAATCCTTCTTGAGGTCAGCTTTTCCTTTCCAAGCAGGGAGCGCCAGATTCTTGAAGATCGCTTTAGCACCAACTCCACCAAAATTGCGTCCCCCCCCCCCCGCCCCCGTGAGACATCTCCCCGCACCCGCACCCTCCAGAGGAGCCGAAGCTATGCAAACCCGGCTCTAAGGAACCTGCGGCACTCACCGCCAGCAAGGGAGGAGAAGGCTCGGGCGCCGAAAGAAACCGCCTATGACGGGGGGCGGGGGAGGGGAGGGGAGGGGGTTTGGGGGTTGGGGGGTGGGTGGGTGGGGTAGGGAGTTTATGGGTCCAAATCCACCAGGAGATGGACCGCAGGAATTTTTCGGGCCCACGTTTCCATGGAGCGATTTTGGGGTACCCCAGTTTTCACCGATGCTTGCGCCTCCAAGTCATGCCTTGGAAGCTAAAACGCATGTCAAGCGGAAATCGGGAAAGCAGTAACCGATTCAGTTTGTGGCTTTTTACACTTCTCCGGCCATGTTTCGCTTGCCAAACGGATTTCAAGTCTTTGCGAGACCGCCCAGGCTTCACGACGCTCAAACCTGTCCAGGCGGGTTTGGCGTCCGGACTCTCGCGAGCTTTGAAGCGCATTTGCTCCCCCTCTTAAAAAACAAAACAACAAAACAACAACCACACATTCACACATTTTCACACACGGACAAAGCATGGCCTTTGTCTTACACGGATCCCCGGCCTCCGATCCCCGACCGACCGACCGACCCACCTGACGTCTGACGTCTGACGGGACGGGCTCCGGCCAGGTGGCGCGGGGCCTGGGCCTCCGGGACCTGAAGCTGCCGCGGAAGGTGGTCTCCTCCGAGCCCCAGGCCGAGTCGGCCGAGTTGGCGAGTCGTTCCTCCCGCTGGGTTAGGGGTTGGGTTGGGGGGGAAGGGGAGGGGGAGGTGGGAATTTCCCACCTTTAAAGAAAAAGAACCCGGGGGGGTTGCTTGGGTCTAGGGTGTTTGCTTGGTGTTTTTTTTTTTTTTGGGGGGGGGAGGGGGAGTGATTTAACGCTTTTTGTGCTGTTGGTGCCTGTCCCCGTTTGTTGTGGAATGGGCCATGGCAATTTGCAGGATACTTGGCCGTCCCATAGGTTGTAGCCTTGCAACAGCCCTGGCTGTAGCCTTGGTTGTGCATTTG